TTGTGGCACAGATGACAGGCTTTTTCCATTGGTTAAAACAGATAAGGGAATCATGCAGTTGTTGTCCTCGCAACTGTTGGCGATTCCCGTGGTCCCAATCGGTTAAGCAAAATTAGAACATATTCTGGCATTTAGTACCTGTTATCTAATTCCATTGGTGGACATTTCCACCGATTCAGTCATTGATTCAATACTTGGCGTTTGAACTGAAGACGAATGATTGGGTACTAGAACAGTCAACTTGCAGCTAATAAAAAAATTCAAGAGCATCAATTGGCGAATCGAACAGATGGTACAGTGGAAAGGATAATGACAATGATGTCACGCAAAATATTCACGTCTTAACAGGCCTTCCCAATTCCCAATGAACCTCTTTACTCCGTCTAGACGCTGTGTTAACACATGCCAACTTGCAAGGTATCACGACTACTCGAGGTCAGCGTAGTTGTTGTACTCCTTGCTAATTCCTTCAGAGCTACGTCTGCATCGATGGATGAAGTGAAAGCAGCCAGCGCTATCCTGACGTTGAGTCACGAGCGGAACATGAAAGAGCCACGTTCGAGTGACCCAGGGAAATTAATCAAAGTGTATGACCTCACTAATCAATCAGAGATAGTTGAGTGAGCCTTCGCGATACACGGTGTTCTAAATGATTTCGAATTTAGGCACGAAAATGACATTATCTCTCGATCAGTCTAAAATACCGCCTTATCACTTTTATGCACAGTTATCGCTGAGTGGAATTCCAGAATATTCCAACGAAATTAGCAGGCACATTAACCCACAGAACCTCCCTTAAAGCTGCCAGAAGTGTTTAAATTCCTAGCCATTTTTGTACAAATGAAGTAACGTCCAGACATGAACATGATGGCATCAAAACTAGGCCTTCAAACCAGACCTGGCCGTGTGTTTCCAGCATACCAGCTTTTGAGGACCAAATAAGCAGACAAGGCTCATTACTTGCTGTTTACGCTTGAATTATGGCGACCTGTATCGCACAGCAAGACTGCATGCTCGATGACGCGTGATGTTTAAACCCTACTTGTTAGGAAACCAGTCTGGGTGAGTAATATTCAGTGGAAGTTGGCTAAAAGCCTTGTCTTGGCAACATCGCAGACAGTAACGCCCACGTTCATTGGATCAATCAGAAGCCAGCGATGATTGGCTGGTGCAAAAAAATCGATAGCGAACAAAGGAGTGCGTGTGACAGAGCATTTTTTTAGCTTACTTTGATTTCCACAGTGAAGTTACAGCCGACTAGCTATATTTTGGAGTGTAAATTTGCCTACCAAGCGTCTGCACTGATTCATCCACCAACGCTGTTTTGACTAATGCTGGCTTCGCTGCATTTTGTCACTTAATTGAAGTGGCTCTCAGGCACTTATCTTCGCTTACGCCTGCTAACAGTTATGGCAGCCAAATGCCGACGTCAATCAATCGGTCTTTTCTCATTTTAGCCACGTTTTCGTTTACTGACATCTCCAGCTTGAGATTGAAATCTCCGGAAACAGCGCCTACTTGTGTGATCGTCTCCAACGCCACGTAAATCAAGTAGACAATTTTAAACAGTTGAATTCGCAAGTGCAAACACCATCAGCCCACAGATGTTTGTAGTTATCAATGAGCCACACTATCGTCTGCATCGTAATATGAAACCGAGGTGAAATGGACGTGCGTAAGCGCCATTGTGCGCAGTTCAGCTGATTCCGTGTACAACGACGGTGGCAGATTCGAGGCAGACCATTCTCCCAGTTCAGTCTTAGTGGCTGTCAGATCTTAGATGAGTTTTCTACCACAAAGTAACTTCCCCTCATCGCCTCCGACGTCATCGAGAAATCGATCGGCTCGTTTTACCGCGAGTCTTTCATCTCCCAGTTAGCGGTGTCGGCTGTGGCGTTTGTTTATTCTCTTTGCCTCTCTGTCTCGCTCGCTTTGCTCTTGCGAGCACGAATGACAAGCGACGTCCACCTCCACCACCACCGCCACCTCCTCCTCCTCATCCTCCTCACATCGTCGCGCTCTAAGCGCACTTCACTGTCGGCGTGTCGGACGCCGAGAAAAAGAGAGCATACACACGCGTGACTCACTCCGTGTCTCTCAAACTGCCACACACACACACACACGCACGCACACTTCAAAGACCCGCGCACCCCGACTGAAATAAACCGACGGCAGTTTGGACTCAAAAGTGCCGTACACAGGCCGGCTAATGAGTTTACTACTGGTAGGTGGTTTTTTTTTCCAATCGATTTCGTCGAGTCACGCCGACTGTGGGCGTTTTGTCGGCGCGAGCATGGCGTCTCCGGATTTTATCGATTGAGGTGATGTTCTGTCTGACAGTCTAAATGGCGTCCGTGTTCACGAAAATACCACATGTGGTGACATCCAATGGAAAGAAGCTCATTATGGTGGTCGAAATATCGTTTAAACGAACTACTTTCAACGTGGTACAACATTGTGAAGTACATCTTGTGCAAATTTAATCAAATCGCCATAGCACCAATAAAATCTTACTCTGGAGGCCAGGTGATATGATTTGACCTTGGAAGTAACGAATCAGATTACTGGCAAAATTGGGGAGGGAGAATGCTGGAAATTTTAAGTGCCTTGTTGACGTCTTAGCTATACCTTAATAACCAATTTCCCTTGTTTAACATCGATCTCCCCTATTGGCTGGTTATGATTAGTTGGGGAAACACAAGGTTACCGAATGGATTAGGGTGGACTCGTCCGTAGTCGATGGAATTTACATTTTTTTATGTTAAATTGACTTGGGCTTTCATCATGAAGTGCTTAGACACCTTTTACAAGTTCAGTATTGACAAGCGAATTTACATAAAATCTGCATTTTAGCAAGGGCCCCAACCACCAACCCTTTGGTGGAACCTTCACGCGTTTCCGCCAAATGTGCAATTGTGCGTGATTGACGTCAAGTTAAACAAGACGTGTGACGTAACTTAAACGAGACTTGGTGATTTGAAAACGGAGCCAAGTTTAGTCTAGACTAGGAGTCTTATTCAAACCATGTCGCTGAGTAGATGGTGATCGATTTTGGGTTCTGCGCGAAGACTTATCCAAACCCCCGTGGCCAATTGTAGAACCATCTAATCGCTAGCTTCTTCCACCAAAATAGAGCCCAGTTTCTTTGTAGAAGTCTATCATCTCAGGCGAATTATCTCACGAGGTTTAGCTGAGTTTTTCGGCTAACCGTCATCGGTTTGCATCCATCATGTGTGATTACAACTCAGCCCCTGCTACACAATTCTGACGTGCCCGCATCGGTATCGATTTTGTGAGTGGTACTCACGGATCGATGCATCCAGTTTGCCGGTATCAGTGACACAATGAGCCAATCGTCTTCACGTATCATGTCTGAGGCACTAGGAGTGAAGAGTTGTCGAATTTGTGAAGCTGCCTTTAGTGACACCAACGTTTTAGAGTGAAAGTCCTCACCGCCACACGTCGCCAACGGTCTCGATGCTCAGAAGCCCTGTCCCACGATTGCGGCTCTCGCCGCGCCTTCGAAACAACATTAGCCACAAGTGGCAATCGAAGTTATCGACTTATTAGGGTGGTAAGCAACCCCACCTACCTTTTCCAAAACCAGAGGAATGGCCGGACGTATCCCACGTGACAGGGCAAATGCATAGCTGATTAATTTGATTTGCCAACTCTTGTACAGTTAAATTAATTACTGACTCAATGGCTGTCGCGACTTGCCGACAACCTTAATGCAGTGTCACCGGTTATCGTGCATTTTTAGTCGCCTCGAGGCGGTGGACACTGGGGTGTCGGAAAGATGAAAGAACGAGACGTCAAGCCGTCACGCGGAGGCCCCGGTGACGAATAAGCCTCGTCCACACGTCTGCTCGTGAGATGATGACGACGGTGGCAGCGGGTTGTTGTTGTCGTCGTCGTCGTTGTCAGGATGAAAAACGACGATATGCTCTTTCATTCCACGCTAAAGAAGCCGACACACACACACACGCACCATTGACTCACCGCAAATCCCCCAGTCGCTTTGAGGTTTGCGTCAATAGCAGGGATTTTGAGTGGCACAGCAGTCTCGTTGATATCTGACTCTACTCAAATCTCTGATGCAGCCTCTCACTGCACACCGTGCGTGTACTTTTAAACTCTCCGCTACCCATGTGCTTGAGAAAAACGCCGTTAAAGAGCACTCTTGCTACCACATCACCTTGTAGACTGACAGCCGTGCAACGTGATAATTGTGATATGGTTTTGGGGTGTAGAGCAAACTAACCGTCAGGCCATCAATGTTGTAAGTTTTGTGTTGGTACTCCTGATTACAGTGACGGCTTGGACATGAAACGCTAGCTTCAATCAGGAAACCTTGCTTGCTGCTGTCTAAACAGTGTAATTTTTTTTCAACAGCAGAAAATGGCTAGTGAAATTTGAGGTAGCACAGAGACCAACCACCGGCCAATCCGTGACGTGCATTTAGTTCTGGCGCGATTGATTCAATCAATGAACAAACACGATAGGACATTGGCACAAATTATAGCCAACAAAATGGCGTTGTTTTTTTGAGAAGTAAGCTGCTAACTGTGATTGGTGCACTTCCGAGTGAATTTTCCATGTCGGCAATTCGATCGCACTGATTCCTGTGATGATGGCCAATTCACGCCAGTGCATGGTAAGTCCCCAGTTATCTAAAAATGTATTCATTTGTTGAAAAGTAATGTATTTTCTAGGTTTGAATAGCGACAGCAGAATCTCATTGTCGCGAATGGGTTTGGTTTATGGCAAAATTTTTACAGATATTTCGGCAAATGCATTTAACATGGGGAAATAGAGAACAACGAACTTAATATTGGAAATATTGTCCATCGTTTTCCATGACCTTCCGCCGTCTCTCATGTAGCGCACGAATGCCGTCGCGAAAGAAACCTGCAGGCTTCGAAGCAGTTGAGACATCGTCGATGCATTTACGCACTTCGTCCAACGATTTGAACTGTTTGTCCACTACGGCGTGCTCCTGCATCGAACGCAACAAATGGTGATCGAATGAGGCCAGGTCTGATGAATATGCTGCGTGTGGGAGAACTTCCCACGACATGTTCTAGAGGTCTTGTGAGTCGCGCGAGCAACGTGTCTGCTCCCTTGCCCAGTAAAGAGCCTTTTCTCATCACTTCCTTCACCCAGTTTGCTCAATTATCGTCTGTGGCTTTCCGGAGTCACGATCTGCCAATCAGTTTCCAGGACTTCGTAACAAAGTACACCCTTCATGTCTCACCAAATATACAAGAGATGTATCTTCAAGTGGATGCCATGTTTCGGCGTCGACGCACTCAGATGCTGACCGGGATCCACCCACGGCACCTTATTACGTTCGGCATTCTCAATACAAGATATACTCTTCATCACCTGTCACAATTTTCCACAAGACGTCACTTTTTGATGCTGGAGGGCAAGCAGTGAGGAGCGTGGGTTAATTCGTTGGGTGTCGGTCAACATATTTTGGTGGTGGAGGCGGAGACGGACACGGGACACAACATCCAGGTTGTTTCATTTTTCCCACCAGGCGTAAACGCTTGGAAGTAGCTGTTTGGGTGATTCCTAACCGAGCTGCTCTATGCTCCTG